CAGAAGCTAAGGTAGTGTATTACGTAAAAACAGGCACCAATCGCATTTGGGTACCCGCGTACTCACTACTGAGGGAGCTGCTACTGCAGGAGGCACACGACGGGGTTACCTCGGGACATTTCGGGGTAGAAAAAACGCGACAGCAACTGCAGCGGTATTACTACTGGCCGGAGCTGTTGACCGACGTGCAGCAGCACGTGGGCTCGTGCCCCACGTGTCAGGTGATGAAAAGCTCGAGGAAGCGGAAGGCGGGTCAGTTGCAGCCGATACCACCGCCCGAGCGAGCCTGGCAGCAGGTTACCATGGACTTCGTCACGGGGTTACCTTCGAGCCCCGGGGGTAACGACGCGGTGATGGTCGTTGTAGACAGGTTGACGAAGATGGCACACTTCGCTGCGTGCAAGAAGTCGATCTCAGCCGAGGAAACCGCTCGCCTGTTCATCGCAACCGTCGTTCGCCTGCACGGGATACCAGCAGCGATCATCAGCGACAGGGACACGAAGTTTACAAGCAACTTCTGGAGGAACTTGTGGGAGCAGTTCGGGACCAGGCTACAGTTCAGCTCGTCGTACCACCCCGAGACCGACGGTCAAACGGAGCGGACGAATCAGACGATGGAGCAGTTGATTCGTGCCACGTGCGACGATCCCACCACCTGGGAGCAGCAACTGCCACTGATTGAGTTCGCGTACAACAACGCCACGTCAGCGACGACGCAGCAGTCCCCGTTCTACCTGAACTACGGGCAAAATCCAACAGTGCCCATGACGCCGAACCCGGACAACCCCACACCACGTGCACAACAATTCGCCGAAATACTGCAAGCTGCCCGCACCAGAGCCGCAGAAGCAATTAAAAAAGCCAACGTCATCGCTAAGCGTAACGCTGACCGCCACCGCCGCCCCGTCACGTATCAGTCTGGAGATTACGTACTGCTCGACACGCAGAACCTGCGACTGCCCGACGTACCGAAATTACGACCGCGCTACTGTGGACCGTTCCAAATCAGCCACATGATCACGCCAGTAACCGCGCATCTACTGTTACCGACCGACTGGTACATCAGCCCTTCATTCCACGTCAGCCTGCTTCACCCATACATACCGACCACAAGCCAACTGCCGCGTTACCGACCGCATTTAATGACTCGCCCTGCATCGGAGCCGATCATCGAGCCCGAAAAAATCCTGAGCCATCGGATTCGCCACCCCACGGGAATCAAGAGGATTGAATTCCTCGTTCGCTGGAAGGACCGCACGCCAACTGAGGATAGCTGGGTGCCCCTGGCCAACATCGAAACCCGCCCTGCCCTGCAAGTGTACCTGAGGAGCCGGGGATTCCGCGATATACACGCACTCGCGTAGCGGAGGGGGCTTCTTGAGGGGGGGGGGTAGTGTAAGGAATTTTCTCGGCATTCCTTACGGAGTCCGGCTACATCGCGTACAACACTGCCGTTTGTTCGCCCGTTACTGCTAACGGGACTTCGCCACTTCGCGCGCACTGTTTTGCCAAACCTCGCACTGCTGGCCCGGCCGTGTCGGCCTACGCTTCGGGACTAGCCCGAGCCTCGCTGCCAGCGTAGCACTAGCTAGCTCGCACGCACCGCGTTACCGTTTGCATGTTCGCATACAAATGTTCGCTCATGCCTTCGCTCACATCTTTGTACTCGTTTGACACTCTAGTGCAATCCTCGCTACCTCGATCCATTGCACCCGTAACACTATGCTAAAAACTACTCGTGCTCACACACCTCTTAAAGTATAGAGTACACGTCAACGTTGACTTCCACGTACAGCATTAGGGTCGAGCCACGTCGCCAACCTCACGATCCTTATAGCGAGTGCCAATATCGGCAGCCCTGATCCACCAACACCACCTCCCCTCCGTTTGGATAAACCTCACAGATCCTTCTTTCCCCCATGATAGCTCTAGAATCTCGAGATTTGTACGTCCTCTAGTGATCTGTCTAGCCTAAAAGTTCACTCTCAGTTGCATGGTTCGAATTTTAGCTGAAACTAACTGCTGCTTCTTTTCGATTACCATCGAAGCAGCTTGCTTCTCGCTGCACTTTTAGCAACCCTAGATATTACCAGTCTGTTTGGAGTTGCCTCTGACGTCCAGTGATCTCGCTCCCTTCCAGTCATGGCGTCAGCATTGACTCGCATTACAGGACCGCGCATTGCTACCTTTCGTCCAGAACCCACCGCCACATCGAGAAGTCCCGCGAGCCAGCCTTCGTCCGTAACATGGTTAACACCAGCCGGTATACGCCACTCCGTGTCGCAAGTTTCCGCGGATTTCGTCGGCCGGCGCGGGTCCAGCCACGGCTGGTCGCACGGAAGCAGCCGCTCGGCGCGCTTAGAGGTGACGGCAAGGGCGGGAGGCGCACGGCCGCGGCCCGCTGGCGCGCGGCCGTCGCAACGGCCGCCGATGAGACGGCAGCAGCAACAGACGGAGGATAAGGACGGGCCGCTGATGAACAGTGATATAAGGTAAGAGTCGAACTGCAGGCGAACAGTAGATCGGATGAGACAGAGCGCAGGTGAATGAATGCTGGTATCACGTGAGTAGCAGGCTAACAGTGATTCCAGGCAAGTGGTTGTCAGAAGGGATTCTAACGTTAGGTGAAACAATCCAGGCTTAGTTAGGTCAGAAGGCCACCCATGAGCGATCGACGGGGGCAATGCAGCGCGCTGCGGTTCCACGTGGCGCCAATCTGGGATGCAAAGCATCGTAGCCCGTGGATCGCTCGCCTCGGGATTGTCGCGACGCGCGGCGTTGTCGCGCGACGCGCGCTGTCGGTGGCCGTTCGGCTAGAAAGGAATTGGATGGTACGAATCTGCAAAGTCTCAACGCAGGCTTGATGTTTCGCAGCGGACTTAGGGCGACACGGGTGAAGCCGATCAGGTGTTCGAGCATTTCGTTGCACACGGTGCTGAGTTGTCGGCGGCGGCCGCAGCAGGCTTCCGAGCCTCGGCTCGGCGCGCTATCTCGACGAGTCGCAAGAATGCTTGTTGACGCGCCTCTGAATGCCAAGGTTTAGTCGCCGCGCTGTTGCAGCGCTCTTCGTGTGAGGGGTTTGGGTGCGGGGGTCAATGCTAGCGTGTGGGGGTCAATGATAGGGTGCGGGGGTCAATGATAGGGTGCGCGAAGCACGGAAACGACGACGGGGTGCGCGTGTGGGGGTGTGTGGGGGTGTGTGTGGGTGCGTGTGCGGCGTCGTAAAAAAACTCCCTCTATTTTTTTCACGCGGATCTCGCAGCACCTGCTCTGGTGCACTGACCTTCCGATGGCGAGTTGACTCAACAGTCATCATGTCATCATGCTCGCACCGCGTTCCCACAAATCGCCATGCGAATTGAATGCATGTGTCGAGCTGGTCCGAGTTGAGTGGTGCGGTGAACTCGCAAGTCGCCATGCCATTGTGCGCGACATGTTGCCCGTAGCTTGTCGCCCCGGTCTCACTCCCCCGGTCTCGAGTCTAGATTCCCCCGCCATGCCATCCCGTGCTGTGTTCCCATCGCCACCTAGCTGCTCCCCAGTGCCATCCGTTCTAGCGCTCCGCTCAGCGCGCTTTGCCCACTGCGCTGCCGCGAGAGCAATGGCTTCAGGGCGCGTTTTGCGGCAGGCGGCTTGGAAGGGCTCGTTTGTACGGTCTTGGTGTTTGTGGAAGGGCTCGTTTGTACGGTCTTGGTGTTTGTGGAAGGGCTCGTTTGTACGGTCTTGGTGTTTGTGGAAGGGCTCGTTTGTACGGTCTTGGTGTTTGTGGAAGGGCTCGTTTGTACGGTCTTGGTGTTTGTGGAAGGGCTCGTTTGTACGGTCTTGGTGTTTGTGGAACGGCTCGTTTGTATGGTCTTGGTGTTTTGGAAGGAACAGAGGGAGGCTGAGCGCTCCTCCTTCCCCTTGTCTTGCTCGTGGATTCCCCCAGAGTTGATTATCCTATTCTGCTGCTCTCCTTGCTCCTCATTCCTCGTGGCATGCATGCACCATGTACCATTTGCCATGCACCATGCACCATGCACCATTTACCGTGCACCATGCACGATATACCATTCGCCATTTACCATGCACCATCACCATTTATCATGCGCCATGCACCATGCACCATTTACCACACCGTTTACCATACCATTTACCATGCACCATTGACGATGCACCATGCACCATTTACCATGCACCATATACCATGCACCATGTACCATTTACCATACACCATGCACCATTTACCATATACCACTCACCATACACCATACATACACCATGCACCGTGGACCATGGACCATGTATGACATGCACCATTCACAATGCACCATTCACAATGCACCATCCACCATGCACCAGCCACCATACATGCATATACCCAATCTCTCACATCCGTTTTGCACCCATCCACGTGGCAGGGTGCCCACGCTGCGGCTGTTGGCAGAGGACCAGAGCCTGGTGAGTGCAGCACTGCCTTGCCTAGTCAGCTGGAAGGATTCTTCTTGCTTCCGTCCTTTTCTCCAGCACCAGTGCATGCTTGCTACTTCATTAATGCGTTTAATACGTAAATGTATGGATATGTATGGATATGCGTAGGTACGTTGTGTATGTATGCATATCAACATAAATTCAACAAGAACGACCATCACTTTTTTTTTTTTTTAACACGTGTATACACTTTTGATTTCCGTCATCCTTTTGGTTCCCTGTCCGTGCCGGTGTGGCCCTGGTCATTCATCTCTTGTCCTCTCCCTCTCCCGCTGCCTCTTCCTCTCCCTCTCCTTCTCTCTCTTCCTGCCTGTACCTGCCTGTGCCTGTGTGTCTGTGAGCAGCTGGGGATAGTATCGAGAGAGGAGGCGCTTTCTAAGGCCCGAGAGGCCGGGCTTGACCTGGTGAGTCGGTGCTGGGATGTGCTGGGATGTGCTGGGGTGTGCTTGGGTGTGCGGGGGTGTGCTTGGGTGTGCTGGGGTGTGCTGGGGTGTGCTGAGGCGACTTCCGCAGAGGCTGGTGATGCAGAGATGAACCTGGGGAGTGGATGTTGTGAAAGTATTGTGAGCCGATGGTGCGATACTGTGAGCGGGCATTATACCACTCGCTATACACTGCCCTTCCCTACCCTCTCCTGCGCTCCCCTACCCTCCCCTGTCCTCGGCTACTCTCCCCTGCTCCTGACCTCACCTAAACCCCGACATGCATGCTGTGGCGATAATGGCAGCGGATGCCAGGCCCCCTGTGGCGCGAATCCACTCATTTATCCCCTTATACGCATTCCTGCCCTGCCCTGCCCTGCCCTGCCCTGCCACGCCCCGCCCTTTCCCGCGATGCATGGTGTGGTGAGAGCAGGTGATGATAGCAGCGGAAGCCAAGCCCCCTGTGGCACGCATCATGGACTACAGGTGCGCGCTCACTGCTCACTGCTCACTGCTCACTGCTCACCCTCGCACACGGGCTAGTGGTCAAGACACCTACTGACATTTTAGTGATTGCGTGTGGGTGCTCGCTCGTTTGAGTGCGCTGTTTCCTTTGAGCTCCCTCAGCCTCGAGTTGACTCAATGGTCACCCTCTGTGCTCTGTTTCCCTTCACCTCCCTCGGCCTCGCTTTGGCAGTCAGTCACACTCAGTCACACATTGTCTTACTTCCTGTTGTTGACTGCTTCATCCCACCCGTTTCACCTGCTTCTATTTCATCCTCGTTACAGCAAGTTCCGCTATGAGCAGCAGAAGAAGAAGCGCGAGCAACAGAAGAAGGCTGCTGCCAGCCGCCAGGAAATCAAGGAGCTCAAGATGAGGTCAGATCCCTTACTCACTCCCTCACTCACTCCCTCAATCACTCTCACTCGCTCCCTTGCTCACTCACTCCCTCAACCAACCTCACTCACTCCCTCACTCCATCCTCAAAATGAGTTGAGCCTTTCATTGCACGCCGCCTTGTACCTGGGTGTACCTGAGAATTCTCAAGACCTCAAAGAATTCTCAAAGGTGTGCCGCACACGATGGCAAACACGCCTCCGTCTCTTCCCACCACTTCCTGCAAGTGCATGTTACATTCGAATTGCATGTCATTACATTACTCCCTCACTTCCCTCCTGCACTCCCTTGCTTCCTCCCTGTGCTGTCCCTCTTGACAAGCCATTCGCCCACTGCCGTCTTGACAAGCCATGTACTGAGTGCCCGTTTGACTTTCCTTGACTAAACTTCTCCCCCCCCCCCCCCCCCTTTCTATCTTCCCCAGGTGCTGCGTTCACACGGGGGTTTTCAACGTGCGTGTCAAGGTGTGAGTGAGTGTGAGGCATTCGTCACTTGAATCCCCTCGCCTTGTGTCTCTTCCCCCCCACCCCTCTTGACCGCAGGTACAACATGGACACGGGCGATTACAACGTGCGCCTCAAGTGTGGGTGAGCACGAGGCTTCCGTTCCTTGACTTCCCTCCATCCCCTTGCGCCACTTGCTGTTTCTTCTCCCCCCACCAGGTACAACATTGACACGGGCGATTACAACGTGCGCCTCAAGTGTGGGTGAGCACGAGGCTTCCGTTCCTTGACTTCCCTCCATCCCCTTGCGCCACTTGCTGTTTCTTCTCCCCCCACCAGGTACAACATTGACACGGGCGATTACAACGTGCGCCTCAAGTGTGGGTGAGCACGAGGCTTCCGTTCCTTGACTTCCCTCCATCCCCTTGCGCCACTTGCTGTTTCTTCTCCCCCCACCAGGTACAACATTGACACGGGCGATTACAACGTGCGCCTCAAGCAGGCTCTTAAGTTCCTTCACGACGGCGATAAGGTGCGATGTGTGTTGGTGATGTGGGGTGATGCGTGGTGGTGTGATAAGGGGTGATGTACGGTGGTGATGAGGGGTGATGCATGGTGGTGGTGAGGATGATGCACGGTGGTGAAAAGGGTTGATGCACGACGGCGTTAGGTGCGATGCGTGATGGCGATATGGGGTTATGGGTGGTGGGGAAAAGGGCTGGACGCATTTTGGCGATAAGGGTTGACGCCTGACGGCAAGAATAAGATGCGATGCATGACGGCGACAAGGGGCGATGCATGATGATGGGGATGCGTTGAAATGCATGGTGACTATATGAGCTACAGAGAACGTTTCCACAGAGAACTTCCCAATCCTCCTTTGCTCCTGCTCCTGCTCCCCTCGCTTGCTCCCTGCCCTTCCTTAGCGCTTCCCTCCCCCTCTCTACTCATCTCCCCGGCCACCACTCCTTTCCTGGGTGTGTGTGTATGGCAGGTGAAGCTGACAGCGCAGTTCAGGGGGCACGAGATGGACTTGAAGGAGCTGGGAGAACAATTCCACAGAATTCGTCCCCATTCCTCCTCTGCCCCTCCTCCCCTCCCTTGCTTCCTGGGTGTCCGTGGTTTTTGTGCGAGGGCAGGTGAAGCTGACAGCGCAGTTCAGGGGGCGCGAGATGGAGTTCAAGGAGCTGGGGGTGAAGCTGTTTGAGAAGTTCCAACATGATGTGGCTGAGGTGAGCAATGAGCATGGTGTGAGGAGAGAGAGAGGGCGTGAAATGACAGGCAGAGGGCTGACAGTGTGTTGCGGGGTTGGGAGATGGAGTTCAAGGAGCTGGGAGTGAAGCTCTTTGAGAAGTTCCAACACGACGTGGCTGAGGTGAGCATGACGTGGCTGAGGTGAGCATGACGTGGCTGATGTGAGCTCAACCATCTCTCTCCCCTCCATGTACCACTGGTCAAGTCCATTGCCCCTCTCAGTGCTGTTCCACTCACATGGCTTTTCCTTTCACCCAACAAAGCTTCTTTCCCTTTCTGCATGCTCACGTGTCTTGTGCACACATCATCCTCTTCCTAACGGCCCCGCCCTACAGCTGGCAATTGTGGAGTCGAAGGCACATCTGGAGAGGCGGTCGATGCACATGGCCCAACAAAGCCACACTCACCCCCCTCACCCTCCAAGCATATGCTTCTTGTCCTCTCCCACTTGCGTCAACCTCGCGGCCTCCTTCCAGCTGGCTATTGTGGAGTCCAATGCCCACCTGGAGGGGCGGTGGATGCACATGGTGCTGGCGCCCAACAAGACCGAAGTCAACCCCCTCACTTCAATGCACATGCCTCTCCTACTCGTGTCTTCCCCTCCCTTTGCAGCTGGCAATCGTGGAGTCCAAAGCTCATCTGGAGGGGCGGTCGATGCACATGGTGCTGGCGCCCAACAAGGCTGCTCTGCAGCGCATAGCGGCCGCGGAGGAGAAGAGCCGCCGCGCCGCAGAGCGCAGCAAGCGGAACGAGGCGCGCGGAGGGGCGGTGTCTGGGAGCGAGAGTGACGGCGGGGAGAGAGCGGGGGAGAGTGATGTGGAGAGCGATGGGGAGGAGGTGGCAGGAGGTGCGAGGGAGCAGAATGGGCAGCAATAGGTCGCGTGGGAAGATTCGGGCGAAGGTTGGTGGTTAGTCTGGGTTGAGTGTTCCCATACAAAGGGGTGAGTTATTCAGAGAGAAAATAGTAGTGTAAGGTAGCCAGCATCTCTATTTTTCTTTTCAATTTCTTTCTTTTTGAAGGTTTCCTCGCCTAATTAGGCTTAGTTGTTTGCGTCCACTCACTCTTTCCTGTACAACTCGTAACAGTTACTGTAATGCAACCCTCGCTGGTTTGGCGAAGCAAGCTCTGACCAATTTGCACGTGACCGTTGTTGGCGTGGCGTGGCGATTGGTCTTCCCTTGTACATCTCATCATAGATTAGGGCGCGTCAGTCTCCCCCGCATTAGCGAAATTGTCTTCTCGCCGCTTTTTCGTCGACCATTTTTGGTCGACATTTCTTTCGCGAATAACGCCCAAATGGTCGACTTCAAGACAACACGAATTCGGCCAGCTTTTGCAACAACTGCAAATTTGACAGGTTTGCTGGCCGATTTGCAGGCCGCAACACGAAAGTGTACAGTAAAATCTGCAGTCGCCCATCTGGCCGGGTTCGTGCGACTGCGTCGCACACGTGAATTTTGAACACGTGTCTCACCCTCAGTCGCTGGTAACTATGTGCGATGTGCCAGAACTCTGTCGCACCGACGCGTCTGAATCGTGGACGGTTTGCCGTCCACCCGGCGTCGTTTCCGAAAATCGGCCATCAAATCGGCCATCAAATTCGCGACATGACAAAAAATATTGCGAAGGTCGCAAACTTTTTACTGTCGCCAAGCGGGCCCGACGGATTTCCCAAATTTTGAATGTCGCGCGAATTGACGCGCCCTTAGCAGCCGATACTGGATTTCGGTTTCTGGTTACTAAGGGACACCCATCGAGAGAATCGTTGTATTGTACTGTACCGCTGACGACTCTTGTAGAGGTCGTTTGTGGATTCCCTTGAACACTGACGACTCTTGTAGACGTCGCTTGTGGATTCCCTTGAACACTAAGTCACAGCAGTCACAGCCCGAAAGATGGATTTCACAGCCTAGGCAAGAACTGGTGACGACTCGAACAGTAGTCACTACTGACCCACACGACCGCGCAAAAATCTCCGAGACCATCGCGGAACAACCAGCAACGCCAGCGAAGCAGAGAACAGAAAGCAAACGCCGGGGAGGAGAGGGAGGGAGGCAAGGGGAAGGCAGGACTTGGCCGCTTTGCCATTCCGCATCTTCTGGTTTCACGAGGTACCACCCTGTCTTGTGCTCTCGACGAGGATACAAATCCCGCGAGTGCATCGAGCATTATCTCGTTTCTCTCACAACCACCGCCGTTCCCCTCTTCCTACTGTCGTTGTTCGTCATGGCTTCTAAAAAATATAACTCGTCGTTCCGCGAGCACCGATCTGAGAAACAACAGCCGTTGCATTCTGATGTACATTGTTCTCGATTATGGGCTGTCCTCCTACAATCATTGCTCCTCCTCACTCTACCCGTTCTCTCCCGCCGCACCAACGCCGGTGAGTGAGCACACGGCCATGCACCCTCTGCTTGTCCTATTTTTGAGGCATGGACTCGTAGCATCCTGTCGTCTAGTTCGCTCCCTCGCGCTCTCCCATTCCACTGGCCCTGCTCTCCCAGCCCGTAGCTGATCCTTACTAAATCAGTAGTAATGATGGCTCCACGTTGCATTGTGCTGCCCCTCCTCCCTCCTCCCTCTTCCCTCCCCCTCCCCTACTCTACAAGCCTCCCGTACAACTCATGCCTGCGCTCCTTTAAATCCCACTCCCATCTCCCATCTGAAATCTCAGTGATCTGCCCTCATCTCGTTGTCCTTCCCAGCCTCCCGCAGCTTCCTCCCCGCCCCTTGATCGTCCAACTACCACGCTCCCTCAACTCACTGAGTTCCATCTCCTCTCTTCTTCTTACCCTTTTCCCCCCATCCCCCGCAGCTTCCCCCCATGCCTCCGCGCTCTACATCGTCCGCCTGCGTTCCGCCCCGCCCGTCGCGTTGTACCGCGGGGGAATCCCCGGCTACCCGGCAACGGCCGTGTGGGACAGCGACCCTAACGGCAACTCGAAAGATGCGACAGCAGACGATCCAGCCAACGGTGCCGATCCAGCCAACGGTGCCGATCCAGCCAACGGTGCCGATCCAGCCAACGGTGCCGATCCAGCCAACGGTGCCGATCCAGCCAACGGTGCCGATGCAGCCAACGGTACTGACGGCGCAGCTCCCTCAAATTCCTCAACGGCCGCGTGGGCCAGCGACCCTAACAGCATCTTGACAGATGCGACGGCAGACGGCCCTAACGGCAACTCGCCAGGCACTGCCGCATCAGACGACCACACCAGCGATGGCGTTGGCACTGCGTCTGGTGCAAGCAACAGTGGCGTTGGCACTGCGTCCGTTGCAAGCAACGGTGGCGTTGGCACTGCGTCTGTCGCAAGCAACAGTGGCGTTGACACTGCGTCTGGTGCTCCTGTCACTGCTGCTGCTGCTGCCACTAGCGGTTCAGGAGGGACCAGCCGTGTGCGGCGCCGGCCGCGGGTGAACGTGAGGGCGCCGGGCGTGAGGGCGTTCAAGCAGCTGCTGCAGCGCATGCAGCAGGCCGTGCTGAGAGACAGCGGGGTGGACGCGGGGAAGATGCTCTACAGGTGAGGGTAACGATGGGAATAAGGGGGACTTCATTGTGTGAGAAGATGGTGTATAGGTGAGGGGAGGATGGTGCACGAGTGAGGGGAAGATGGTCTACAGGTGAGCGTGAGAGGACTGTGACAAAACAGGAATAGTGATAGCTGCTAATGCACTTGTTCTTCCAGTTCTTCACCTGCACGCCCTCTCCCATCTCCCCCTGCTTCCTTCCCTCGTCTTCCCCTCCCCGCCCTCCCCCCCAGCTACGTGCACGCGTCGAACGGCTTTGCAGCGATCCTCGCCCCTTTCATCCCCTGCCCACCTTCCCTCTTCTTCCCCTTGCGCGCCCTTGCTCCCTTCCCATCCCCTCAGCTACATGCACGCGTCGAACGGCTTCGCAGCGATCCTCACGGCAGCGCAGGTGCAGCGCATGAGGCGGCACCCCTCTGTGGCGTCCGTGACGCCGTCTCGCACCATCACACGCCGCCGTGCTGTCACTGCCGCCGACAGGCACAAGTCTCTCAACCTGCCCCACGCCCGCACTGCTGGTGCTGCCTCTCCCGCTGCTGCTGCTGCTGCTGCTGCTGCTGCTGCTGCTCCGGCTGGAGTGTCGAGTGACGGCGAAGGCACGGTGATTGGGATTGTGGACAGCGGTGTGTGGCCGGAGCACCCCTCCTTTGATGACACGGTACGTTCACAGCCGAGCATTGCTGGGCGCCTCTCACCTTATGAGCTGATGCTGCTGCTGCTGCTGCCGCTGCTGCTGCCACTGCTGTCGGAGAGACTAGCAGTGGTGTTGTTGATGGTGCTGTTAGCTCCTTCCTTCCCTCACCATCCTTGACCCCGTGTCCTCCCTCTATCCCCATGTTCCTTCTTTTTCCACCTCGCCGCTCCCTCCCTTCTCCCTTCCTTTCCTTCGCATCCCCTTTGGTTCCCTCTTTCCCATCCTTTCATCTCTGCCTCCCCGTCCCACCGCAACAGACGACTATCGTCACCAGCTTTTTTCCCAATCAATTGCCCCTCCACCCTCCTCGTCCCCGCCAGGGCTACAGCAGCACGCTCAGTCCTTATCCCACTACCCCTCCACCCACTCACTCACTACCGCTCCACCCCTCCTCCCCCCCGCCAGGGCTACAGCAGCACGCTCCCTGCCGGGTGGGCGGGCACGTGTCCCACTACAAGCGACTTCGCTTGCAACAACAAGATCATCGGAGGGGGGGAGTTTCACGCGGGGTTAGTTATAACGACAGCCTCAGCCTCACCCTCAACTGGCTGTCCCGCGGGATTCTGATGGCCATGGCACTTGGTGTGCTGGGTGAGTGCTGGGACGTGCTGTGCGTGCAGCAGGGATGTGTGGTGAGCGTAGGGGTTTGAGAGCTGCGTATAGAGACGGTCTCAACCCCACTCTTGACTGGATGTCCCCGCGGGATTCTGATGGCCATGGCACTTGGTGTGCCGGGTGAGTGTAAGGATGTGCGGTGAGTGCAGGGATGTGCGGTGAGTGCAGGGACGTGTGGTGACGTGTGGTGAGTGTATGCAGTAGCAGTATGCAGGCAGCAACAGCAGGCAAATAGCGGTAGCAGGAAGCAGCAGCAGCAGGTTAGCGGCAGCAGCAGGCAAGCGGCAGCAGGGGAAGTGCCAGTGGCGATGCCATGGCCTTGCATGGTATTTTTTTTAGAATTCTCAAAAACACACGCTGCATGGTATGTTGTGGTCTGCCTTGGGATTGCACAGCGTGGCGTGTTAGATAGTAGTTTGGCAGAGAGGGGGGGAGAAGAATATGCATGTGGTGTGGCCAGGACATTCCCGTCCCTTCATAGCCGCTCCTTCCATTCACTTCATACCCATGTCGCCCCCACTTCAGAGCGGCAGCAGGCAACAGCGGCGTGAGCAAGCCTGGCGGGGGCACGGTCAGTGGCGTGGCTCCCAAGGCACGCCTGGCCATCTATAAGGTCCGTTGGGATATACCCATTGACATCACGGCCACTCCTTCCCTGTCCCATGCGCCCCCACCCTGCTCTCAGAGCGGCAGCGGGCAACAGTGGGGTTGAAGTGCCTGTCGGGGGCACCATCAGTGGCGTGGCTCCCAAGGCACGCCTGGCCATCTACAAGGTGTACTGGCGCAGCACGCGTACTTACGACATACGCGCTTCAGAAACAGACGGCAACGCCAGGCACTGACATACTCTTGTGGGTATCGGCAACTTTGCACCCTTGTATATCAGCGTGGGGGCAAGGTGAGAGTGAGGATCGCTCATATCAGCATGAGAATGAAGAGTGGCTGAGGTTGCATTGCATCCCCATGCTCTCACGGAGGACGGCCACATGCATGCTCTGCAACAGGTGACATGACATGCTATCACCCTCTACTGCTACATTCATGACATGCCATGAGTGCATGTGGACGCGTTGTCCTTTGCAGGCAAGGCAAGGTACGTGCTTGTTTGTTCTACGCGCTGCAGCTTTGCGCTGCACTACTTTTTCCTCCTCTTTTTCTTCCCTTGAATCATGCGTTTTCCCATGCTCCCTTCCTCTCGTCTTGCATCTCTCCCTCGTCTTGCATCTCTCCCTCGTCTTGCATCTCTCCCTCGTCTTGCATCTCTCCCTCGTCTTGCATCTCCTGCTGCCCTTCTCATGCTTACACACACCTTCCATGCCTCACCATGCAGTACCCTGCCTCAGGCTTCCCTCACCTCAACATCAACATCAACATCAACATCAACATCAACATCAACATCAACATCAACATCAACATCAACATCAACATCAACATCAACATCAACATCCACAGCACCAGCAGCAGCAGCAGCAGCAGCAGCAGCAGCAGCAGCAGCAGCAGCAGCAGCAGCAGCAGCAGCAGCGGTAGAATCTCCTGCAAACACCACAGGCCCAGCAGCATCAACACTGCTGGGAACCCCACTCCCAGCCACCATCTCCCCTGCAGCAGACACCGCCCTCCCCATGGTTCCCACCTGGTCCTCCACCGGCCCTCTCACCAAACCCGGCTGTTCGTTATGCCGACCATTGAAGCTCCTCCGCCGCGCCAACGCCATTGTCAAGCCAGACGTCATCGCCCCGGGAGCCAGCATCCTCGCAGCTGCGCCCGGGCAAAAGGTCGGCGAGACGGGGAAGTTTAGGGTTTATGATGAGGAAACTGCTATCTCTGCGGCGCTTGTTGCCGGTGTGGCTGCTCTGATCATCCAGCAGCATCCTGATTGGACTCCCGCGCAGGTCATGTCTGCCATGATGACTACAGCTAGCAGCACTGACAGCAGCAACAGGGTGATTCGGAATGTGAATGGGGAACCGGCAACGCCGTGGCAGATGGGAGCGGGACATGTGTTTCCCGCTAGGGCGCTTGACCCCGGGCTGACCTACGATGCCGGGGAGCAAGATTTTCGGAATTTCCTTGCTGGGCTGAACATGAAGCTGGCTCGAAGAGCGTTCGGACAGGTGCAACTGAAACCTGTTCCACCCAGGCATCTGAACCGGCCTTCTATCTCGCTAATCAACATAGTGAATAAACTCACCGCCAGGCGGACTGTGACGAGCGTCTCAGACACCACATCGACCTACAGGGTGAGGGTTAACGCCCCTGAGGCTGTGAGAGTGAGGGTGGTGCCATCGCAGTTTACCATAGCGCCGGGGGAACGGGTCAGTTTCAAGGTGAAGGCTGTTGTGAGGAGGAAGTTCAAGAACTTTAAGTACGGCAGCATCACGTGGGAGGATGATAAGGGGCATTCCGTGCGCTCCGTTCTTGTTCTCCATTGCAAGCGTACGTGCGTGTACTATTGCTAGGTTATTAGTGTCAATGAGTTAAGTGTATAAGCAAAATGTATTTTTGTTGCATACATCATCTCAAATCTGAGTGTGCATTCCCACACGTGAAGCTTTTGATGACACGTTCCAAAAGATGACAGCTCGATGAAGGCCTTGGAATCACATATGTTCAAAGAGCACAGGCACACAGCGACACTGGCATACCATTGAAACTTTTCACTGTTAAGGTCCGGCCGGCACACAACCAATCAAGCAGCTCCAACCAACGCTAGTGAACGAGCATTGATGGCCCTTTGCATAGCTGGTGGGGTGGGGATGTTGTCGAGGCAAGGCGCCTTAAAACCGCCTGTCAAACTGCTGCGCAGACTCCGCTCAATTCCGCAATCGCATACCGTACCTTCCAACCCCACACCTCCTCCCACCACCTCCCCTCCTCCCTGCCTTACCACCTCTCGTTCACCTCTTCCCTTCCCCCTTCTCCACCATACCCTCTGAACCACTCTTGCTTGTTGGTAACCCCACCACTGTTTTCCCCACACTGCTGCCTTAGAAAAGGAGCTCACATGAGTTCATTCATTGCTTGCCTTGCCGCCTCCCCCTCCCCCCACCTCCACGCCCTTGTTGCTGCCCCCTGCTCCACCTCCCCCTCGTGTGGCCTGCTCCACCTCTCCCGCTGCCAGCCTCAGCACCTCCCACACCATTTCCCCTCCCCCCTTCCCCCCCTCCCTCCTTTTGCCAGCTTCAAAATGTAATACCCATGCGTTCACTTCACTGCTTGCCGCCTCCCCCTCCTTCCACCTCCGCTCCCTCCGCACCACCCTTGCTGCTGCCCCCTCCTCCCTCTGCCCCTCGTGTGGCGGCCTCCACCTCTCCCACTGCCAGCCGCAGCACCTCCCACTCCAATCCCCTCCCGCCTTTGTCGTGATTTGAATGAAAGCCCCATGCTTCACTTTTACTGCTTGCCGCTCCCCCCTCCCTCCACCTCTGCCCCCTCTGTACCACCTTTGCTATCCCCACCTGCGCCCCCTGCTCCAGCCTCCTCTCGTGTGGCCTGCTCCACCTCTCCCACTGCCAGCCGCAGCACCTCCCACACCGCCGCTCGCTGCCTGCCCCATGGGAGGTGGGGCAGAGCGAGGAGAGAGGAGGCAGAGTGAGGAGGGAGATGGGGCAGAGTGAGTAGGGATGAGGTGGGGAAGAGTGAGGAGGGAGGAGGTGGGACAACATGAGGACGAGGCACGGAAGAGCACACCAACAACAAAGGCACGGAGGAGGCACGAAAGAGGGAGGCGGGAGGTGGAGTGGATACACCAACAACAAAGGCAATCAGCCATGGCTGAACGTGTTGGTTTGCAAAGCTGAAGGAGATTTGAAGAAAAGAAATCACGACAAGGATTCACGTGCCACGGAACTCAGAAGGAGCAGAGGGATAAGACGGGAAAAAGGGAATGTGCTCAAGGGTGATCGGGGTGCGGTGCGGTGCTCAGAGGTACTCACTCCTTGATGCCTTGTAAGGACTGCTTTCGCATCTCCAGCTGCGTCTTGAGTATGTGTGTTAGTGTTGCCCGCGCCTGGAGACGAGGGGGGGCAGATGAGATGCAACGCGGAGGAGGGGTTAAGGCATGCAGTGTGGAGGTGACGCACTGCGTTGCATTGACTGCTTTCGCATCTCCCGCTGCGTCTTGAGTATGTGTGTTAGTGTTGCCCTCGCCTGGTGAGGGAGAGAGATGAGGTGCAGCAGAGGAGGGGATAAGGCAGGAAGTGCAGAGGAGGGGATAAGGCAGGAAGTGCAGAGGAGGGATAAGGCAGGAAGTGCAGAGGAGGGGATAAGGCAGGAAGTGCAGAGGAGGGATAAGGCAGGAAGTGCAGAGGAGGGGATAAGGCAGGAAGTGCAGAGGAGGGGATAAGGCAGGAAGTGCAGAGGAGGGGATAAGGCAGGAAGTGCAGAGGAGGGGATAAGGCAGGAAGTGCAGAGGAGGGGATAAGGCAGGAAATGCAGAGGAGGGGATAAGGCATAAGTGCAGAGGAGGGGATGAGGCATGCAGTGCACCTGGTGAGGGCACTGAGGGCGGCTGCAGTGCACCTGGTGGGGGCGCAGCGAGTTGAGGAGGAAGTGCAGGTTGGTGAAGAGCAGCGAGATATCCTCCACACACCGCCCTGCCTGTGATGGTCGCTCCACCAGCACGTCCGCCAGCTCCAGCACCAGCAGGCCTAATTCCCGCCCCAGTGCCTTCAGCTCTGCGCGAGTGTCTGAAGAAGCGCACGGGAAGGGGGAGGTGAGTGGGTATGATGGCCGCTCCACCAGCACGTCCGCTCCGCCAGCTCCAACACCAGTAGGCCCAACTCACGACCAAGAGCCTTCAGCTCAGCGCGTGTGTCTGAAAAGGGGGGGGTTGAGTGGGTGGGCATAGCGGCCTGACGGTCGCTCTACCAGCACGTCCGCCAGCTCCAGCACCAGCAGCCCCAGCTCACGCCCCAACGCTTTCATCTCAGCGCGTGTGTCTGCAAGGGGACAAGACAAGGCAGGGGCGGAGGAGAGGAGAGGGCTGGGCATGACAGGCGCTCCACCAGCACGCCTGCCAGCTGCAGCACCAGCGGGCCCAGCTCCAGGCCAACACCAGCTGGCCCAGCTCCAGGCCAACACCAGCGGGCCCAGCTCCAGGCCAACACCAGCGGGCCCAGCTCCAGGCCAACACCAGCGGGCCCAGCTCCAGGCCAACACCAGCGGGCCCAGCTCCAGGCCAAAACCAGCGGGCCCAGCTCCAGGCCAACACCAGCGGGCCCAGCTCCAGGCCAAGCGCCTTCAGCTCTGCACGCGTGTCTGGGAGGGAGGGGATGGTGGGTGGTCGAAGAGAGAAAGGGCATAGCGCCATGGTTCAACTGTGACAGTCGCGCCACCAGCACGCCCGCCAGCTCCATGCAGCACCAGCAGTCCCAGCTCCCGCCCCAGTGCCTTTTAACTCTGCACGTGTGTCTGGGAGGACAGGGCAGGAGAAGGGATATGCTTCAGTGGCTCACAGTCGCTCCACCAGCACGCCCGCCAGCTCCAGCACCAGTAGCCCCAGCTCGCGCCCCAACGCGTTCAGCTCTGCACGTGTGTCTGCAGGGGGCACGACAAGGCAGGGGAGGAGGAGAGGCCTGAGTGCATCACGGTCGCTCCACCCGCACGTCTGTCTACCAGCCAGCTCCACTCCAGCACCAGTAGCCCCAGCTCGCACCCCAACGCGTTCAGCTCTGCACGTGTGTCTGCAGGGGGCACGACAAGGCAGGGGAGGAGGAGAGGCCTGAGTGCATCACGGTCGCTCCACCCGCACGTCTGTCTACCAGCCAGCTCCACTCCAGCACCAGTAGCCCCAGCTCGCGCCCCAACACGTTCAGCTCTGCACGTCTGTCTGCAGGGGGCACGACAAGGCAGGGGAGGAGGAGAGGCCTGAGTGCATCACGGTCGCTCCACCCGCACGTCTGTCTACCAGCCAGCTCCACTCCAGCACCAGTAGCCCCAGCTCGCGCCCCAACGCTTTTCGTTCTGCACGTGCGTGTGCGGGAGGGAGAGGGTGGGGAGAGGGAAAGGTGACCGGGTGGAGAGGAGGGGAGGCCTGAGACTGGCAGTCTGCCAGCTGCAGCACCGGCAGCCCCAGCTCACGCCCCAGTGCCTAGCTCTGCACACACACGTCTGGGGGGGGGCCGGTGAGAGGGTGGCTGGAGAAGGACATAGCGACGTGAATGCAGCGCCACAGGCGCACCCACCCACCCGCCAGCTCCACTGCTTCAGCCACTGCTGTGCTTCAGCCACTGCTGTGCTTCAGCCACTGCTGTGCTTCAGCCCCTGCTGTGCTTCAGCCCCTGCTGTGCTTCAGCCCCTGCTGTGCTTCAGCCCCTGCTGTGCTTCAGCCCCTGCTGTGCTTCAGCCACTGCTGTGCTTCAGCCCCTGCTGTGCTTCAGCCCCTGCTGTGCTTCAGCCCCTGCTGTGCTTCAGCCCCTGCTGTGCTTCAGCCACTGCTGTGCTTCAGCCCCTGCTGTGCTTCAGCCCCTGCTGTGCTTCAGCCCCTGCTGTGCTTCAGCCACTGCTGTGCTTCAGCCACTGCTGTGCTTCAGCCCCTGCTGTGCTTCAGCCCCTGCTGTGCTTCAGCCCCTGCTGCATGCGTTTTTTTAGGCGCCTGAAGAATCTGCGAAAACTGAGGCGACTTTTTTGGGCGCCTCAAAATGCGGCACCACACCCACCCACCCACCCGCCCGCCCCTCCACTTTTCCGGTACCAGCTGCATGCGTGCCCCATGGCTTCCTGGTCCGGCCCCGCGTGTGCGGTGAGGTGAGGGATACGGCAGGGGCGGAGGAGCAACATGAAGGCAGCAGTGCAGCACGGCATGGCTGTCACGCATATCACATATTCCCAGGTCATGCCAGCTCATGCACTACCAGGCCTGGATTCCCCCTGTGCCATGTGCTCGCTCAGAGAGTCTTTTTTTTTTTTTTTTTCATATACATGTATATATATATATATGTATTCATATATACAAAACATGTTGAGAGTTCTCACTGATGTTCGTGCTGTAAGGCAACAGCACGCCTTTTGAGGCTTCTGAGGCGCCTCAAAATGAGTGATAGTTGAGAGGTCTCACTGATGTTCTTGGTGGAGGGGAACAGCTGTCGCACGCCCTGCTCCTCCAGGCTCGGCAGCCGATCCTCCGTCTGCATTGCATCGACGGAGCAATGCGCAATGCGATGCGCACGGGAGCAAGGGGCGAGAGAGCACGGGGGCGAGAGAGCAGGGGGCGAGAGAGCAGGGGGGCGAGAGAGCAGGGGGGCGAGAGAGCAGGGGGGCGAGCGAGCAGGGAAGAAAGATCAGCAGGGAAGCCAATGCGGCAACAGAGATGAAGAGGAACAAAGCAACACATCCCAATGCTGTGTAGTAGGGTCACAAGGAATGGACTAGACTGTGTAATAGGGAACCCTGGCTCTGCTGCGCACAGGCTAACACGCATTTTCAAACACAGCACGGAGCTTGTTGCAAACAATTTTGAGACTAGATGGTTCCAAATGCACTTGAGCCGCTTTTATTTTATTGTGTAGAGGAAAATCATGCAGTCAGTGACTCGGCACACACACAACAGAGCGTGGAAGCCTCAAGCGTTAGCAAGGGACTCAAAGGGACCGACCGAGTCTCTAGAATACTGAACGTCTTGTGCGTGCCTGTGCGTGCCTTGTGCGTGCCTGTGCGTGCCTTGTGCGTGCGTGTGCGTGCCTTGTGCGTACGCTTCAACCGACCGTCCGCAGAGCGTACGTTTCAAGCGCCACAAGAGCTGCGTTCACGCACGTTGTACGGCGCTCCGAAGGACACGTAGTCGCCGGCGATGGCGGGAGGCGGGGGCGGGCCGCCTGTGCGCGTGTGAGGGTCGTACGCGGCATAGAGCTTGTAGTAGGGCGGCGGGGGCGGGTACGTCGACGCCGTCGCTTCCATTCGGAGCTCTCGGAGCGCCAAGAAGACGACTATTGAGTTTTCAATGTGAACGGGAGGGCACGGCCGGCACCTCAATAGTACGTCGACGCTGTCGCGCCCATCGGAAATTCTATGAGCTACGACGCCGGCGAATCTCGCGCGGCACGGAAGTTGGTGACGTGTCGCTGATGTGGAGCGACTGGGAGTTTAAAAAATGATTGAATTAGTATGGTCGCTTCGGAACGAGAGGAAAGAGTGGGTGTGACAGCTTCCGAAATCAGCTAGGATACTTATTCGGGCGTGGATTACGGACAGGAAGTTGTGTTGATTCGATTGCCTTCCTGGGGCCCTGTTCGGTAGCCTCCCAGTCACACCGGACCCACTCGAACTGGGAAAGACACTCATACGTTTCGTAGCCTCGGGCTTCCACTCACACTGGCCCTGTTCGGTAGCCTCCCCAGTCATACTGCGGTTGGTGCAGGGGACCTTCCCAGGCCCACATTCGAACCATGTTAAAACCCACTATATCGTTATTAGAACACCGGACCTGCTCAGTATGACTTGGCTCCCGAACACGTGAAAAAACCCAGTCGGAGTGAGGGCAAGAAAACTACCACGAAATTACGAACTCCGGCAAAATCGACCGTGAGTAAGGCCCTGTTCGGTAGCCTCCCAGTCGCACTGGGCCCAATCGAACTGGAGAAGCGTCCGAGATTTTGCTTAGCCTCGGACTTCCACTCACACTGGAAAGAGGTTTCGAGTTCATTTTGCAATAATTCCTTGAAATAAGTTGTAAATTTCTTGATACGATTGTGGTTCTTTACCAGACTGACCCCAAAAGAAAACGTACTTGCCCGTCACACGGTTACCCTGCTAAAAACAGAGGAAAAAAAGCACCACTTGCTGTGCGCCACCTCTTTTTGGTTCAACAAGGTAAGAGCATATTTTTTGGCCCGAAATTGTCAAGTTAACCCAAAACTGTGCCACTTAGAGTGGCCCTCGCGGAGTGTAACTGAAACCCAAAACTGGGAGCCACTTCCACTGCGAGTCCAGTTTGCCCGGGAAGGACAATTTCTGTGCAGTTTCGGCACCCGTAGTCAGAGTTGGCTTTTGAAGCGTTCGGTAGCCAAGTCACACTGGCCAGGTTCGGTGTTCCAATATCGAGTTAGTGGGCTTTAATAATGTCCTCGGAACCTGCCTTCCACCAACCGCAGTATGACTGGGACGTCTACCGAACAGGGCCTAAAAGTCAAACCCATTTCTGCTTTCTAGTTCCACTCAGGCAGGCCTGCTCAGAGTGGCATTTTGTAGGGTATACGCTACAATAATGACTTTTCGGAACTGATAAATCTTTTCAGCCCGATCGTTTAATCAATGAAAGATCGTGCCCGTTACTGATTTTTTTTTTCGTTTTGTTTGCAAGCCGGGCAGCCTCATCCAGCAGTAAAATTTACGGCTTGAAATTTCTCCAAAAGCACACGGTAGCCATTCCAGAGATATCACTTTGCATGCTCATTCTTGTACTCTAATTCTCAATTTTCAATGTACTTTCAATTTCCTTAGTGGAAACTCTTGCCAAATCTCTCTGTGAACAGAGCAAGTAGTGAGAACTCTGTTAGAACGCTACTAGAGCGCTGCGATCACCCACACAACCCCGTGCCCTCCTTCGTAGTTCACACCCGTTGTAGGGTGACTCTCCGCATGGTGCGGTGAGCGTGGAACGGCCCCGCGTTAGAACCTTCAGAGTAGCCGACTTTAGTGCTCAATACCTAAGTTGTTGTAGGCCGGCAGTCTAAACCGCCATGGTCGACCAGGAGGAGGTCGCTGCAGTCGTAGAGGATACCCTGCAGGCGCGGTTAGATGACGTTCGGGCACGCCACGCAGCTGGCGAGTACGGCGGAGCAACCTTGGATGTTATGCTCTTTGGAACCCGCGTGCAGTGGGCGCGCGAGCACCCAACGACCCGTACTGAGGCGGATGGACTGCCTGCCACTCCCCGACCGGCACGCAACGAAGGCGGCGTCGACGACCAGGTCGACGGTGGTAACCAAGTCGGCAGCGAAGGCAGCACGAGGCTTCGTGGAGTGATTCGGGCCGCTGACTTTGGCGTCGGCGGAATGCAGGCACGAGTTCAGCGCTCGGCGGCAGCGGGAAGTTCGAACGGCAACATCGATGGTCGTCGCCCTTCTCCTCAGCGGAGTGGAGCCAGGCCGACATCGGCGACTCATGCGTCGGCTGGTCGCGACGGAGGCATCGCGCCAGCGTACGGCTACTTCAAATTTTCGCCGGACAAGATCGCTGTGCCGCAGCCGCTCGAAGGACGACACGACTTGATCACATGGATTGAGTCAATCGAACCCCAACTGGAGATCGCTGGATTGAAGAAGTTCGTTGACGGCAAGGTGGAGATGCCGGACGAAGACGACTCTGAAATGTTGGCGGAATTTCGCGCTGCTCACCTTCTGACCTTCATGGTCATTTCGAGGTGTTGTTCGCCGCTGGTGCAAGTCGCGCTGAAGCAGTGCCGACTTCAAGTGGACGCCGGCTACCAAGCATGGCAGTACATCATGCGCACCTACAGAGCGACCGACGACCTCTACATCAGCCAACTGGAGAAGAAATTGGCCACCATTCGCATGGGCGAGCAGGAATCGGCGACCGAGTACTGCAATCGAGCGCGGCGAATTTTGGCCGACATGCGGATGGCTGGTTTCGAGTACTCGGTGGCGTCGTATGTCACGCATGTCATCAACGGCCTCCCCTCGAGCTACAATCTGATGCGACGGATGCTGATAATGTCAAACATTATATGTTACATTTGTGTAGGCTGTAGTGGGTTAGCCTATAGGGGGGTCACAACTCTAGGGTTTCCTATTTGTACTCTCATTTCCTTCTAGTCCAACAACACTTGTTCATTCTAACATGGTATCAGGAGCCTAGGTTAGGCACCTAGGACCGCCTCCTACTACGGGCCCACCGTTCCGTTAGCGCCCTCGTGCGCCTCGTCTCACTTGCGCCCTCGTGCGCCTCTCTCTACTCGTGCGCCCTCGTGCGCCCTCGCGCCCTCGTGCGCCTCTCACTACCGCGCGCCCTCGTGCGCCCTCGCGCCCTCGTGCGCCTCTCGATTCCGCGCGCGCGCAGCCCGCTAGCCACCCACGCGCGGCCCGCTTGCCGTGCGCGTGACCCCTTAGCCGCCCGTCGCGGCCCCTTAGCCGCCCGTCGCGGAGCCTGGGGTGCGGAGCCTGGAGGTGCGGAGCCTGGAGGTGCGGAGCCTGGGGGTGCTGAGCCTGGGGGTGCTGAGTCTGGGGGTGCTGAGTCTGGGGGTGCTGAGTCTGGGGGTGCTGAATCTGCAGGTGCTGAGCCTGAGAGTGCTGCACCTGGAGGAGCCCTCTCCTCCCAGCAGCTGCAGGAGAGGTACCTACAGTACTGCCGCCTCCGGAGAGGTGCTGCTGGAGCTGGTACCAGTACTTCCCCTCCTACCCGGGAGCTCCCCTCCCTTCAGCAGATTCGAGAGTGGTACATGCGGCGTTGCAGTCTTCGGAGTGCAGCTCCTGGTGCTGCGGACCCGGACGGTGGAGCTGCTGCTGGTGCTGAGGACCCGGACGGTGGAGCTGCTGCTGGTGCTGAGGACCCGAGCGGTGGAGCTGCTGCTGGTACTGAGGACCCGGTCGGTGGAGCTGCTGCTGGTGCTGAGGACCCGAGCGGTGGAGCTGCTGCTGGTGCTGAGGACCCGGTCGGTGGAGCTGCTGCTGGTGCTGAGGACCCGAGCGGTGGAGCTGCTGCTGGTGCTGAGGACCCGAGCGGTGGAGCTGCTGCTGGTGCTGAGGACCCGGTCGGTGGAGCTGCTGCTGGTGCTGAGGACCCGAGCGGTGGAGCTGCTGCTGGTGCTGAGGACCCGAGCGGTGGAGCTGCTGCTGGTACTGAGGACCCTGGCACTGGTGTCTCTGCTGGTTCTGGAGACACTACGCGGCCGCGACCGTACTTCGTACCGCTCCTTCAGCAGGTTCTTGGTCAGGCTCCTCCTCCTTGTCCTCCTCCCTCCGTAGAGTGTCCGCCACCTGTCCAGTCGAAGTCCCAGTTACCACCTGCTTCGCCTCTCTCTGGTCCCTCTCCGTACACTGGTCCCACAGGAGGTCTTACAGAGCGTCGTGAGCCTGCGTCTCGTCCCGCGTCGCCTGTACGCACTGTTCGCACTGGTCGTCGTGTCCCACGTGAGCGTCCTCCTCCTGTCCCTGGCACTCACTACATGACTCTGCGTCCCTCCACTGCTCCTCAGCGTGTCCCTCTGCCGTCTCCTCCTGCGTCCTCTCTGCCTACTCTTCCTGACCCGGAGTCTGACGCCCGTCGTGCTGCCAGTCCCACTGTCACGCGTCTCCTCGCCACTGTTGTCACTGACCCTACCTTTGAGTCCTCTGCTGCGTCTGCTCTGGTCGCTGAGTTGGTTGACTTTGCTGCCCGCTGTCGTCTAGACTACGCCGCTAGCCTTGTTGCTGAGTCTGAGTCTGTCTGTCCTCCGTCCGTCGGGGGTGAGTGTGCTCTTGGCACGGACGTCCTTGAGGACAGACAGGAGGAGTTCCAGTGCTTTGCTGCTGCTTTGCCCCATCTCGTGTCCATGCTAGTTGCCCCTGAGGGAGACCCGGATGCTCCTGACATCCCGACCCCGCGCTCTTACGCTGAGGCGATGGCGGGTCCTTACTCCTCTCAGTGGCAGACAGCCATGGACGCAGAGATGGCTTCCTGGAAGTCCACAGGCACCTACGTCGACGAGGTTCCCCCACCTGGGGCGAACATCGTTAGTGGCATGTGGATCTTCAGGGTGAAGCGGCCGCCGGGTTCTCCTCCTGTCTTCAAGGCTCGCTACGTTGCTCGAGGCTTCAGTCAGCGAGAGGGAGTAGACTTCTTCCAGACCTTCTCCCCCACCCCGAAGATGACTACTCTTCAGGTGCTGCTGCACATAGCCGCTCAGCGCGACTACGAGCTTCACTCACTTGACTTCAGCACTGCTTTCTTGCAGGGCAGCC